ATGTAGTTGTCTCAGTATCTGCATTGTACCCAAGATGGACATTTATACAACAAAATGACACACACATATTGACAATAGTGTATTACACAGAGGTTGAACCCACTTTGTCCAGACGTTTCAACCTTACCTAGTTTTTTTACATGGCTCTTTGACATGGGTTTTGCATCTTCCACAATTGTCCTATATAAGGTGGCCTTATTTGCTACCTTTAGATGCTCGAAGAGAAGGAAATTCTTTGAGTCCCAAGTACTTTCTGGCTTCCTTAAGTCATTTCAAGTCCTTTGTCTGAAATGACCATTTCAGTTACCTAAGTAGGATATATAGGTGATGTTACATGCTCTTTCTCGACATCCGTTTGAGCCCTTAGCCTCATGTGCCATGTATCACCTTTCCCTTAAGGGTTATGTTCTGTTGCTGCTGGCCTCTGGATGTTGCCGGTCAGAGTAGTTTGTTCTGCTCATGCACAGGATGCTTTATCATTATACCTATGTCCTTCTATACCCAGATAGGTCCTTCTTGTCTAAGACACTGACAGCCAAGGAAGGGGATAAATTATTTTCACCAATTTATCTGACTGCTATTTCTCACTTCTATGACCTATCAGATCGCTATCGTTTGTTATGTCCAGTGAGGACCTTTAAGTGTTATGTTGCCCACCCTAAAGCTTTTAGAGGCAGTAGACAACAGATTTTTATTCATTGTGACCCTTCAGTTTCCCCGGGATTTATCCCTTATTACCTTGAAGGGATGGGTACAAAAATTGATCCATATTGTTTATTTTGTGCTCTCTTTGGAAGCAGAAAGACTTCTGTGAGTCGCGTCTCATCAGCTTCATCACATTTCTATGTCCTTAGCGGCCTGGTTGAATTGCTCACTGAAGGACATTGTGCAGCCTCGTATGTGGACCTCCCCCACTACTTTTATCTCACATTATTTGCATGATCTGGTAGTATCTTCCTCTGAGCTATATTAACAACATCTAGTAGAATACAAAGAGGTGTGAGTATTTTCATTACTAATATTGTCTCCTCTTTCCATTCCAGGATCCCTTACCACTTTTTCACCGGAGTCCACTCTGTGGCGAGTGTTGCCCAGTCAGGTGTGCTTTTATCAAACCAAATCTGTGCTATCAACCACTAACACAGTATACTTAATCTAGGTTGCAATAGGCTCTGTAGAAATGAGGTGTTGCATAAGACCACCTAGAGGCAGACTGGGTGGTATTACTATAATGTACTAGACCACCACTCCTGGACTATCATGAGTAAAGCATAAGAGGATCCTGCCCATTCCTGCTGATCAGTGGATTGCCACTCCTGGTTTCCAGTCACTGGGGTGGTGGACAGAGGTTATTCTTCCAGAGTGTTTAAGTGACTTTTCTCCACTCTTGGAGAAGAGGGTGAAGTTGGGGGCCCTCCTACCCAGAACCTTGGATGTTTTTTTTTTTCCCATATGTCAGTAGGAGTGGCACCAGCCTACGTGGTAGGCTTACTCTTAATACTGGATCAGATTTGACACTCAGCTATCTAGTTGGGTTGAGTGTGGTTTTTCTTTTTGATCAATATTGGTTTAGTACATTGTTCATTGTCTCCAAATGCAGAGTGTTCCCATCCTGGACCTTGGTTGAGCACAGTTTGTCCCACATCCTCCCAATAATTCCCGGGGCAGGTGAAATTTACCTTGCCCACACGGTTGGGGAGAGAGGATGAGTGTTCATAATTCCATACCAGATGTGTTCTGTTTTTTCAGGTTGAGTATAGCATGCAGGATCCCGTCATTCTGAGTTGGGTGTTGTTTTTTGGACTTCTTCAGGTTGAAGAGAGGGTTTGTCCACTTCAGTGCTGTTTACCTTCTCGTCGTGATCCAGTGGCTCGAAATGCATCACTCTATAGCTACAGGTTGGGATCCACTCACAAGTATAGATATATATTGCTGTACAAATGCCCTAGCCACCGATGAGGGATTTAAGGGCCATGACCCTATAATTCCAACCCTGAGCAGTAGGACCTTGGGTTCCTGGTTGGGGCCTACTAATGGTGATGACGGATCACATCAAATTCCACCTGTAGTACATGTTTCAGGTGAAGAACATATACCTCTTCTGGGTGTAGTGCGGTTCCCCCACTAGGGTGCTAATCTTATATTTCTTTCGACACACCCACAATATATGCAGACACATTCTGTATGGATAATGCCCTCATTAGCCCATTTGCATTATCAATGTGGGATTCTAGCTGTAGTGTGAGAGGAGGTAAGTATTAGAAGTGAGCATTTTCTTAAATTGAAAATGTATTTCCAATAATACCTCCGTTCACACTCTCCCACCTTTCCTCCCCACTAAGAGCTGGGGTTAGAAAAACTGCAGATTGGGTCAGTCTCAAAAGTGACAATATTATCTGAAAAAAGAGGACACATTGACCTAGGTAGAGAGTGTCACGAGACAGATAATGCCAAGTGCAATTAAATGGGAAATAAAAGACTGGAGCAAGCAGGAAGAAATTTGACCAATTCTTAGATGGGCAAAGGAAAAGAAACCCTTGCAGTCGAGTAACAGCTGTAGTGTAATTTAAGGAAATGTCATCACTCAGGCAAAGCATAATTTTTATAACCTTCAATCTTATTTGGTTACGAAGCCATAAACTAGAAAATCAGACTTCTCTTGCCACACCCACCTATCACGTTGTCTCTCTTTCACAAATTACCAATAGTTCTCTCTGACATTTAATGTTGTATTATTTATAATTAATAGAAAGGCAAGTCTTAATCTATTAAATGATGTATCATATTACATTATTTTTGTATAGAGAATTGCTTCCAGTTCAAACTTTGTTCCCATGAGAAACATATCGAGGAGCTTAGCTGAATTTTGAACAGCTCTTGTCACGTATTTGAAAAGCCAGAAAAATTGTGTTAGTTATGGGAAATTCTCTGCTTTTTGCATGTTATTATTTTGTGTTCTTTGGTGCATTATTTAATCAAATAAAATATTTAGTGCACTACTACAATTGGTATAAAAAGTAGGGTTAAGTGCCATCAAAAATCAACAGAAAAAAAAGACGTCCAGTGTAAGTACTTTTTTCTTGTTTTTCATGTATATTCTTATTTGTTAGTATAGAAGTAACTAACATCTAAAAATTAGAAACTTTTTAGATTAGATAAAGTTACATTAAGTAAAATATATAATAATAAATTTTCACGAGGTACACTCATGAATAGTGTGTGTATTATGTAATTTGATAGGGTAATGTTGGCTACTACACGTTCTCTAAATGATTTAAAACTTCTGTGGTGGGTATTAATAGATGTGGTTCAAAGGGCAATAAAAAATAACATTTAAGTATAAACAGATGCATACTATTACGAGTTTAAAGCTATTTAGGATAAACAAATGTTGTTTTATGCTACAATTTGAAGTCATTCTAGAAAGAAAAGATGGAATTTAGATTTATTTCATATTTTTTTTATGGGGGTTACAAAGTCGGTCAAATTGACCAACCTCGTATAGAGTCAGGGTAGAGAAAATAACAGATAAAACACAAAGTTTTACTGAAAAAATAACATTTAATATGTAGTTAGGAGGTTTTAGAGAATACACAAATGAAATTTGACTATTTTCAGATGAATAAAAGTATTTATAAAGGTCACTTTGGGGTCACAAACTTGGCCAAGCTTGTAGCAAGAGAATTAAAGTAATTTAAACAGCTAAGAGGAGTGCCTAGACTACTCTCATAAGAGGTTAGGTATATAGAATTCTGAAAAAATCTGATGGTCATGAGGGACATCTCAGTGACTGCTACGTTAAACCTATTCCACAACAAGATGCCCACCAAATACCTCTAATTACAAAAAACACTTTGAGCTACATGGTATAATCAAATTGATCAACTTTTCTAGCAAGAGACACCAAATCTATTGATGCTTTCTAAACTTAAGTATTGGGGGCAAATCTTAAAACTTAACAGGGTGAAGTTGTCGGTACTCTAATTGTCTATAAACAAATGAAGAAATTTACACAAAAATCCTTAACATGTAAATACTGCTGTCTGAGATGGGGCTCTGAGGGGTGACATATCTATTCCCCAAATACCTTTCCCTTTGCAATGCGTAGTACACCCACCCCTTACTCATGTGGTTATGTTGTCTATAATTTCCTACTGTCAGTTTCTTTTTGTATAGTTTAATGAAGTTTAAAAACTTCTCATGCACACACGTTACTCTTAATTATATAGATGAAGTACATGCATGTGTACATTGCCTTGAAAGGTTGGTATATAGAATAATAAATTATGTACATAGAAAGTTAGGTTAAAGAATAGATTACATTCATGATATAGAATTGGTGTGGCCTACAAGAAAATCCTAACATACATTCGTGTGTGTGTGGAATATAAGGTACCTACTGTTTATACTGTCTCGCAGCCCCCATGCTGTAATCTGACTTCTGTCATTATCACCGTAAAGTACTCCTTAAGCAGTAACGGCTGTTTTGTGAAAGAGCTCTACAAAGATCCTCAATATCTATAACTATAATATTATCTGTGAGCGTGCAATGATTTAAGATCAGATTTATACCAGTAGATAAGTTGTACAAAAAAGTAGAAATAGTAAGTGTATATATATATATAAAGCAGTATTCAAATTTAAAAAATGAATAAAAGGGAATAGTGAAGGTTAAGAAACAACTGTGCATATTTACATGTTGCAGTCTACACATTGAATGGACAGTGAGTGGTTCTAATGTACATACTTGTATGGATATTTCTTACAGCCAGAAAACGTATTACTATCATCCGAAGAACGTAAAACTGTTATTAAAGTAAGTTAAAATAAACATTTTTCATATCTTAAAATGAGTGGGTAATAACTACCAGGTCTGTGAAACACTGCTACTGATAACATCTTTAATCTAATGCTAGAGCCCGTCCAGCCAGTAGGGTTACAATAGTCATAGTTGGTCAGATGTTATCTTAGAATCTGTTCAAGAAATATTATTACTGACATAAGAATGTTTGTATTTCTACATCGAATATTTTACTTTTAAGGTTTCTTTAAGTAACACATTTTGTATCTTGAAATGTATTTCGTGAGTCATTAAAATAACTGCTACCAGGGATGAGAATAACTTGCTGATTGGTTGGTTCATGTTTCTATTAGATAAAGTACTGGTTATTGCTGATTGGTTGGTTCATGTTTCTGTTAGATAAAGTACTGGTTATTGCTGATTGGTTGGTTCATGTTTCTGTTAGATAAAGTACTGGTTATTCCTGATTGGTTGGTTCATGTTTCTGTTAGATAAAGTACTGGTTATTGCTGATTGGTTGGTTCATGTTTCTGTTAAATAAAGTACTGGTTATTGCTGATTGGTTGGTTCATGTTTCTGTTAGATAAAGTACTGGTTATTGCTGATTGGTTGGTTCATGTTTCTGATAGATAAAATACTGGTTATTGCTGATTGGTTGGTTCATGTTTCTGTTAGATAAAGTACTGGTTATTGCTAATTGGTTGGTTCATGTTTCTGTTAGATAAAGTACTGGTTATTGCTGATTGGTTGGTTCATGTTTCTGTTAGATAAAGTACGGTTATTGCTGATTGGTTGGTTCATGTTTCTGTTAGAAAAATACCGGTTATTGCTGATTGGTTGGTTCATGTTTCTGTTAGATAAAGTACTGGTTATTGCTGATTGGTTGGCTCATGTTTCTGTTAGATAAAGTACCGGTTATTATGAAGTTGATGCAACTCTGATGAGAAAAAAAAATTTAAACATTAAGGGGTTGAGTTGGAGGCTGAAAACAAAATTCTGTCACATATTCCAGAAAAAAAACTTGGTTACAAGTCTCAGAAATAGACACTGGTGTCTGAAAGTCTTCTTGACCAAAGGCAAACAGTTTTCTAACTCAGATTCAGCTCTGCTCAGAATATCAGTACTATACTAGAACTAACTTGTGTGAGTTTGTCATGTTTGTTTGAGATGAAAATACTGACGATAACCAGTGATTAGTATGCACACAAGTAATGTGGAATTATGAAAATTTAATTTAAAGGAATAGTCCTTATCTGGAAAAAATATCATATTGATAGAGTAACATCATTGAAAGAATTAAATGCCCTGTTGTGGAAACTTAGTGTTTTATTACTACTATTATTAGTGCACAAATATAGAAGATACATAATATCAATTGTACATGAATAACTAAATATTAATTTAAGATACACTGTCGATCTTCCCACCAAACTATAACACCATTCTTGAACTTAGTTGTTCCTTACTGTTAACGTCCATTTGTTTTCAGCTTGACCCATTCTCGTCCTCAATACATTGAATTAACTGGTAGGTAAAATCAGCTCAGTTTATTTGGCTTTAGGGTCAAATAGCTGCTTGTAAATGTGTGGCATAAAAGTAAAAGTAGACTTCGTACTTCTCGACATATCTTCCACTAGCTTTAATGATAAAGTAGCTAATTTTAACATATGTTAGGCAAGTGCCCTTCCAACCAGCATATCTGTTTGGACTGAATGTTTGAAGACATATAAGGTACTTAAACATTCAGTTTAACTTAACCTTTGGAACTGAAGAAGTTTGACTTTGTGATCAGCTTGTAAATGAAACACTTCGTGTTTATTTTTTCATAATGTTGATAGGAACAACCTCCTCACAATTATATTAATATAGGTATTAGTTTGATGTTTCTAGAATTAGGAAGGAATTAAATTTTATCTTATGAACTATTTCTAGTTGTAGCTGCCATGAAATAGTCCTGTAAACATTACTGTCAGTAACTTACAAACTCTTTCTAATTGTAACTGCCATAAAATAGTCCTGTAAACATTACTGTCACTAACTTACAAACTCTTTCTAGTTGTAACTGCCATGAAATAGTCCTGTAAACATTACTGTCACTAACTTACAAACTCTTTCTAGTTGTAACTGCCATAAAATAGTCCTGTAAACATTACTGTCGGTAACTTACAAACTCTTTCTAGTTGTAACTGCCATGAAATAGTTCTGTAAATATTACTGTCAGTAACTTACAAACACTTTCTAGTTGTAACTGCCATAAAATAGTTCTGTAAACATCACTGTCAGTAACTTACAAACTCTTTCTAGTTGTAGCTGCCATAAAATAATCCTGTAAACATTA